ATTAAGAAACTAGAAAATTTCATTATAAATAAAGAAAAGAGTACAGAACATTTATGTATATGGCAGTGAAAGTTAGACAATCTCGTACTGGTGGATCACTGCACAAGAAAAAATGTAATGCATTTGAATGCATTAAAATTAGCGAACCCTTTCTTGCCCTAGTTAACAACAGATTGAAGGTCATTTTTGAGATCACCTGCCATGAAGATGTCAGACTTAGCATTAAAACAGGAGTAAATAGTTGTGTCATCAGCATAGATACTGAGTCGAGAACTGATGACACCAGGAAGGTCGGTGATGAAGTTTAGCAACGAAGTATGTCCAAGAATAGTGTGACACCAGCATTAATGTAAAAAGATCTCAATGTGGCCGTTCAAAATTACTTTCATTTCGCGATTAGTTAAGAAAAATAGAATAAAATACATTTTTCCCAGAAGTACTGTTTCAATTTGTGAAGAAAACCAGCATGCCAAACCCTGTCAAACACCTTCAAGATATCTAAAATAACATCATGAGTTTCACTATTCTTATTTGTAGGTTGACAGAATCTTTCAACAATAACCGTTAACACGTTAACAGTTGACTTAAAGATTCTATAAAAGAAGACTGTGTGTGTGTGTTTGAACATAGGGAAATTTCTGTATTTCTGTCTTGCATGTTTATTAACAATGTGATAAGTCGACTTCTTTCCAGACATCGAAGTATGCGACACAATCCGCAATTAATATGATCTCAAACCATTAAGTTTTAAGTAGCAGGCATAATATCCTGAGCCGGTTGGAAATAAAGAATCCACTTTTAGCAAGACACAAACTCGCGTCCCTGCTGATTGTCTGTCTTCGCATGCCACCTGCTCTACGGAAGCCAAAAAATGCAAAAGCTCAAATCAAACCATTTAGTTTTATTCTCCATTTTCGACCAAGCATTCAGTGCTATACATATATGTTTTATTTACAAATACACATAATATTCGTAGTAATTTTTAGATGAAAAATTAGTTATTATTAGACAAACCGTTGTCACTATTATTCATTTTTTCTGATAATATGAAATATGGTATTTTACTCCCACGGTAGGTAGTCGAATATGCACTAAATCACGCTATATAATAAAAAAAGAAAAGCGAATAGGAATGAATTACTGGGTCAACGATTTTATCCACTGCCCTAGTGGATAAAAACCAAAGACTCAAAGAAAGAGTAGTGACTTCAATACCTGGCCACAGCAGAGGCGAAAAAAGAAACTTGGAGAGTTGAGTTACGAAAGGGAAATATCTGAAACTGGGATACCCAGAAAAGACCAGAAACACCTCCTCCGACAAGTCGAGCTGCGCCCGTAGAGGATCCTTCGCCCCCCCCCTCCACTAGATAACGGTAGAAGATCCTCCTAAACTGAGAAACGTCACTGGACCGAGGAATGACATTTAAAGCGTATTGACACTTGCGAAGGAAACTCAATAGAACCCGCGGCTTACGACAGCACCCAGCCCACGAGATTGGGGCATTGATGGTAAGGCAAGGGAAGGGGTCCCTTACAATCCCGGCCATAATCGAATCTCCTGTCAACGCGCGGCGTAGGAAAACCAACCTCAAGGCGAGCTTATGACTCGTTAAGTGTGGCATTCGCAGCCCCCCCCCCCCCATGGTTTCTTATGATCTTTACAGAGAGGAAGTACGGCCAAGCGATAAAGGACAAGAGGAAAGACGGAAGTGGCACACGCCTCCGCCTCCGCCTCCGCCTCCGCCTCCGCCTGCACTTCACGGACAACATCCTTGGCCGCGTCGACCTTTGCCTGTACTTCTGCCCAGTTTATCTCCAACTGGAAGTCGGGTCCAAACCATACTCCGGAAGACTTGTCGCGGTTAATCCTGGCCCCTGTCACCTTTTCGTACCGATCAAGCGCCTTCAATACCACCTCAATGTCGCTGTGGCACAACACGAAAGTGGATACGTGATCGGCGTACGCGGAAACCCTGGTACGAGACCCTCCAGGGACAGCGATTCCACGTAGGGCCGGACTGCACGCCTTGTCCCTGAGCCGGCGAAGGAGAGGCTCCAACGCCAAAGCTTAAAGTAAGGGCGACAGTGGACAACCCTAACGAACCAACCGAGACAGCGCAAAAGCGTCCGACAGTTCCACGTTCACCTGTACCACAGCACTGGGGGAGCGATACAGCAGGCTAATCCAGCGGCAGAAGTCGGGTTCAAATTCAGCGGCCTGCAGTATAGCAGCAAGGTAGCGATGGTCGACACTAGCAAATGCCTTGGACTGATCTAAATTGATCAACGCATCTTGCTCGTCGTCTTTTACACACTCTATGATCGTGCGGATAAGATGCAGGTTGCTCTGAATTGTTCAGCTCTTCACGGCGCAAGTCTGCTCACAGCCCAACAGAGACTCGGCAATGACTGCAAACGCTCTTGCAGGATCTTGGCCAAAATTTTTAACTGTGTGTTTAGCATAGCTATGGGCCTATAGTCATCTAAATCCCACCCAACACCCTCGCCATTTTTTCAACAACGTGAAAAAGGGTGAACCGGTCGGTGACGGACCCCTGCCGGAACCAGTTGTTGAGCGCAACAGTCAAAATCGGGACAAAGATGTGCGACAGTCTCAAGTACAATTCATAGGGCAAAACATCCAGACCGTTCGACTTGCCTCTGCCGACCTTTTTCAATGCCGCTTAGACGTCGCTCTCTGTGATCTCTCCCACGCAGTAAGCCGCTTCAGTCGGCGAAAGCCGAGGAAAGTCAGCCAAATAGCTACGAAACTCGTCGTCCGGAGACCAGGCTCCTTGGTAAACCGGTTTTTGAAATGGCGCCGAAACACCTCGTACATGTCATCAGAGTATGTCCATCCGGGTTTTTGACTTCACGAATGTAACGACCGGAACCCCAACAGATCGCTTCCTTGCGCAATTCTGCGCCCATGTTCACAGCCTCAAACGCCATATTGCTTAACTTATGTCTAAAAACTTCAACTATCTAAACAAAACAAAAAAAAAATGCATTGTTTTATAACCGTGAAATCTTGTAAACTGAAAAATTGAAAAAATGCCCATTTTAAATAAAGTTTCTGCACTTTAATAAAAAATATATTAATTTTCAATTTTCTTTTAAATTTCCGTTCGATATTTCTGGAAAAAATTGGAATGCACGTGATATCTTTAAAGCATTGGAATTATTTCAATTTATTTATTTACTTTAGTTTATAATTTATGAAAAGTAACGATTTTATATCCATATTAAAGCTAGGCCTATGATAAGATTTTAAAAAAAAATTGTTTCACATATTTATTTTTTTTTCACTAACTGTTCACAGACATGAAAACTCAAAATTAAAGAACTGGCGCCAAAGTCTGAATTTCTCACATAGGTGCGAAAAACTATGGATTCACAAAATTCACTTAATCCAACCCCACATCAAGCCCTTTAAAAATGTTCAAATTTTTTTCACATCTTTGGCTTGCGTCTTGTAAGTAGGGTTTATCCCACCTTCTGTTTGGAAACATTTTTTTTTTATTACTGGCTGACTTTGAGCCAGCCATATCAAAGACAAATTGGTTTCATTTGAACCCTATCTTCTTCCTTATCGCTGTTTTTTGCAAAAGTTATTGAAATTATGCAATTGTATTTTTCTTTTCTGAGAACTCACCGCGGAACAAAAGTGCCGCCCGGGGCGGACCGCCGCTTCCACTCCCCCCCCCCACTAGCTACGCCAATGTTTAAATGTTATGTTATTAATTATAGCGGATTATGTTTAAAATTAAGTTTTATTTATTGTTGTTTAAATTTGTATGCATATACTTATATTCATCATACATTCATGCACACACACACACACACACACACACACACACACACACATATATATATATATATATATATATATATATATAAATACGTTTATATAGATACATACACAAACGCACGCACGCGAACATATGCATACGTATATCTGTACTTTTATATTAATATATTAATTAATTAAGGCTTAAATGGTAAAGCGTTTTTTTTTAATCTGGCTTTGTGGTAGTTCATATGTTAGGGTATTAATTAGAGGTGGTAAGATTTATACAGCATTTTCGTTGTTGTTTGAATATATGCACATAAGGTATATAATATAAACACTTACACACACGCACCCCCCTATATATATATATATATATACACACACACACACACACACACACACACACACACACACACACACACATATATATATATATATATATATATATATATATATATATATATATATATATAATTAATGTTAATGTTAATAAAGTATTTGTCTATATGTTATCCTTTATCTATCGTTTCATTTTTTGTGTAGTAACTAGTAGCTTTTTTTTTGTTTTTTGCCTTGATGTTGTTTAACATATAAAGGTGTTAATTATAGAAGGTCATGTTTATCACTAAACACTATTTTGTGTAGAAAGATTCTCTAATCTTCACTACACTATTATTGAAACATGGACTCGTCCATCCGTTTTGAGTAGAATGTCTGTTTATGGAACTGTTGCAAAAATTGGGTCACAATGGCGAAGCGCTTTTCAGTTTTATGCTTGCCACACGAGATTCAATCCATGTTCTCATAAACCTTCGTTTCCAGTGTTTTCTTTACAGTTTTACTAACCAGCAACTGCGAACGTTATACGAACTTTATAACACACTATCAGAATTTGTATTAGTTTTTCAGATTTTATTAAAATAAAAACGGATTTCTACAGTGTATTCAGTTTCTACTTTTTACAAATTTACCGTTGGAACCTTTGACCACACCCTCAATTATGAATGTTTATTATGTAAATTGTTTCTATATTTATTACGTAAATGTTTAAAAATATGAAATAATCATAAGATAATTGCTTTAAAAATTATATTCTTTTTTAAGATTTTCATAAAATAAGGAAGAGTTATTTTTTTTTCCTTTTTTGAAAAAAACTTTTTTGTATTTTGAAAATTTTCTTTTTAATTTGAAAATAGTTGAAACCTTGTCATTCGCGCTTTGTCAATTTAACTTTGATGCCATACTTTGGTCTCAACACCAGACCCATTTCTGGGTGAATGTCTGTTTCTGCCTGTGTCGTCTCCACCTGAAATCTTCGGAAAATCCAAGACAATATAATCTTCTCTTCCGCTATCGCAAACTTCTGACCTGAAATAATATTTGTTACAATTATCCTATAGAATTCACAATTATTAGAGAAAACATAAATAAAAGAATGAAAATTTTAACCAATAAAATAAGTTTTATAAAATCGGGGGAATTGTAAATCATAAGATTAAAGTATTTATGGTTGCTGACTCTTAACAACTTATTATTTTAATATTTCATATTTACCTATGAAATTTATCTTCGTTCAGAATAATATCACGAGAAATGATATCAGAAGATATCATTCTTTCTGTTGTTTATGACTCAATAGTCAAACTAGCGAGTCATTTTATTTATCAAAAGGATAAATTAACCTATATATTATCACTCATCTTCAATAAATAAACAATTTTGAATAAACAATCTGGATAATTATGTCAAAAGTAGGTTTTCTTTCATTACGGATCAATTGAGCAAAAATAAAACAAAAATAGTATTCACTTACCAATGCAATTCCTTCGACCAGCTGAGAATGGTATGAATGAATAGGCATGTCTTTTTTTGACATTTTCTGGTAGAAATCGATCCGGGTTGTAAATCAATGGATCCGGAAAATATTGTGGATCTCTGTGTAGACTACCAATGAACAAAGTAAGCCAGTGGTTTGGGGGGATTTTGTAATCATCTTTAAGAGAAAAACGCATTATGAAAAATGTGCAAATAATTGGATTAAAACGATTTTATGCCTCTACTTCACTTGTTGCATTGTACAGAAAATTAAAACTATTTGGAATTTGGTGTTTTTATTCGAAACATTTGAGGGCGGCAAATAAGAGTCTTACTCTAATTTGATTTGCTTTCGTAAAACAGGTAGGAATGAAAAATGTGAGCTACAAAGATCTTAAGACACTATTTACATTATTCGGACTATTGCTCTCATTGGAGAGGGGAACTAACAGGAGATAACTGATAATTGACACCCATTAAACATCGTACGTGGAACAAGAACAGTCTACCCCAGTGAGCGAAATAAAGGGTTCAGTTCGACATTCCAACCACCTGTAGAAGGCCGAAACGTTGTAATAAATATGGCGACAAAGATGAGGGCAATAGTCCGAATAATGTAAATAGTGTACATAACATCTCATCTCAGAAATATAGACAGATACTGAAAGATTTTTAGCGTAAGCAGTGTCACCATATACATCAGCCATTTTTAACGTCGGCTCAGACAGTGATTACAGACGATGCTAACCTACGAATGCCACAAGGCCGAAATGTTTATCTTACACGATATAATTGGTAAACAAAGATAACCAAAATTATTCAGACGACAAATTTTCTAACGGAGGTTAGCATCGGTCATGCGGGTAGAAGGCGGGAGGAGGTCTCTCAGATTGTTAATAGAGTGCAGTTTCGTTTTAAAATTAACAAGCCAATCTTTGTCATATTTTAGATCAGCTGTCAATTTAAACTTATCAAACGGATGAAATTTACTATTAAGACAGGAGTAAATACTTGTGTCATCATCATGAATATCGAATTGAGAACTGATCACATCATGAATATCATTGATGAAAATTAGGAATAACGTAGGTCCAATATTTACATTATTCGGACTATTGTCCTCATCTTTGTCACCATATTACGTTTCGGCGGTTGTACGCCCGGCCTTCTTCAGGTGGTTGAAATGTCGAACTGAACCCTTTATTTCGCTCACTGGGGTAGACTGTTCCAGTTCCACGTGCCATCTCTGATGGATGTCAATTCTCAGTTATCTCCTGTTAATTCCCCTCTCCAAGTTCTTCACCGCCATAACCAGGTACTGAACTCACACTCTTTGGGTCTCGCCACAATAGTCCAAATAATATAAATAGTGTACATAATACCTCATCTCAAATATAGACAGATAACGTAGGTCCAAGGATAGAAATCTGGACTACACCTGCATTAACGCAAAAGGATCTAAAAGAATACCATAAGCTTTCAATTTGTGACGAAGTCCAACATGGCAAACCCTGTCAAATGCTTTCGAGATCTCCAAAGCAACAGTCCGAGCTTCATCATTATTTTCTAAAGCTTAATACTCTTTCAGCACTAATCGTTAATATATCAGCAGTTGACTTAGAGAAGGAAAGCCATATTGCTTATCTGAAAGAAGATAATGTGATGTGAGATACTTTACCAATTTAGAGTTGATAAGGTACTTTGCCAAAAAAAAGGTACTATATTAATAGACCAATATTTAGAAGGATCAGACGGTTCAGCTGAGTTCTTAAAGACTGGAACTACAGAAAAGGATTTCCAACAAGCAGGAAAGCAAGAAGCAGCCAGGTATTTATGGTAGAGTTTAGAGAGAAAAGGAGTCAGTTTACTCGTAGTATTAGCAGCAATTTTCTGATTAGACTTGAATTTTCTTATTAGACGAATCACTGTGAATTATTATAATTTTTTTCTACTTGTTTTAATCACTGCTCCTCACTAATTCCATCTGTTTTCTAACGACCGCTGAGTGTCGGTTGGAGTATTCAACTTAATACTAATAGTATAAAGTGCCTTTGTCACAGACGAAACGTGGCAAACCTCTCTCTCTTCTCTATCACTGTTTACATGAAAAGTGTTGAGATGAATTACATTCCTTAGCTCCATCAATTCTAACCTTCACCGTTAAGACTCGCCATGCCACAAACATTGTAACGAACCACCCTCATTCCCTTCGTATATCTCCAGTGGAATTACTGGAGATATACAAGTTCCACTCGATCAGATTCTTCCTACTAGCTGCAGCTTTGTATAATCGACTCCCAATATGATGCTTTCCCGATCACTACAATCGTAACCTGTTCAAGTCTAGGATTAACCTTCCCCACATACCCTCACAATAAAATGTGCCTCTTTATCTGTATGACTCTATCTCGAGTGGCTCTTAGGTCTTGTAAAGAAAGTGTTTGTATTGAATAAAACAGCTTCTATTCTTTCAAATTACAAAACTAAAATTTTAATTTCTTCATACCGATTTCAAGATCATCCGTTGTTTTTCTTCCAATCAATGGCACCGACGGGTAGATTCTCATAGTCTCCTGCAAATAAAAAAAACACTTACATGTAAAATATATATATATCTTCCCATTTAATCAACTGAAGCCTATTCATTACAAAAAGCAAAAAGTCGGTGTTTCAGCTGAGGCAAAGCTTAAATTTTAACAACTTAATTTTGCAGAAATCATATCAAAAAACTTTAAAACCATAAACAATTCTGAAGTAAATAAAAAAAAAACATGATTTACATGACATTAAAAAAAATTGTGTTCACCACTTGGCGACTGACTATAAATTAAATAGTCAATACTATTAGCATATATCGTGCGAGAATTAAGAATATTCTGCACAATGACGAGAGTTTCTGTTCGGTGTGTGGCACGTCCTCTGACACCTGATCAAAATTGTACAAGTCTGATCACATCTAACATTGTTTGAGGCAGATCCAGATGATTGCCTGGAACATTTCCTAACTCAGAATGAGTCTTGGTTTTATCACTTTGAGACAAAGAAACAATCCATACTGTCGAAATACCTCTCCTCACCTATTCCAAAGAAGGCCAAGGTTGTTTCATCTACAGGGAATGTGATGCTCTTAGTTTTTTGAGAAACTATTATAAAAAATCCACACCAATGTTGACGCAGTTACGAAAGGCTATCAAAACCAAATCCCCAGGAAAACTGACGAAGTGGGGGCTTTTTTCATCAGGACAATACTCCAATCCATAGTTTCAATGGCTGCTGCGCGAGACTGTGGCTTTGAACTGGTTGATCACCCACTCTATTCTCCTGGTTTGGCCCAATCTAATTATCATCTGTTCCCCAACATCAAAAAAACATGGTTATCAGTATCGCAGGGATGATGATGTCACATGACTTTTTTCAACCAAGAAAATGAAAGCACTGCAACACTGATAGAAGAAGTGTGTGAATCGTAAAAGGAGTATGCTGAAAAACTCATTTAGTCACATTCCATGGTTAGCCTATGAGCTTTTCAACCGTTATTAAGCCTCAGATGGGTATATAATGTTTTCTGGGTGAATCTTTACCTTTACAAACCCAGAAAGAATGTCTCTCTTGATGGATTCTTCTGGGGTTTTCTTCTTTTCTGTCTAAGGGATACTATTGCTTTTAATTGTCTGTCTTCATAAATTAGGCTGGCTAACAGAAAAGCCCATGTACAAACACTCTTGCCATAATTTGGTATCAGGGATTCTTCAAGAGATTAAGGAAGAAAATAATTTAATTTTTGCGCGATGAAATATATAATTACTAATAATTCAAAAAATCAACAGCGAATATAAACAAACACAATTTCGTTTTTTTGGCTCTATGCAGCAGAAGTGAGATGAGGAGAATGACGAGGGAAGCATGTAGCGTTTGTTTATTTTCTTTTTCTATCTTTCTTCTAACAATATTGAAAGAATGCAGACGTTATCAATTTTACACAAATCTTCCACAGATTAATTTTTAATGCCTTTTTTGATTTTTAATAAATATTCCTAGATTTCATTTTGAAAATCTACGAAACTGATTTCTAATAGGTTTCCTTTCTGTGTCTACTACCAAGACGTCATCTGCGTTTCTGATATTGTTAAGATTTGGCCCCCCGATAATAATATATCGCCTCGATGTAAAGATTAAGTAAATCTAGCGATAAAACACACCCTTAGGCATTTCTTAGACTGAAATTATTTCTCTCCATAACTCTAATGGATAATATGTATGTAGGAAATCTTTCTTATGTTCATAAATAAGTCTTTTCAATTTCTAACAAATAAAGAACAGCTGTTAGATTTTATTTTATATATTCCCGCTTCAGAATTATTGTTATTTTGGTCACTTTCGGTCCTGATCATATCCATAATAGTTGCTTTTGAACAGAATTATAAGGTTTATCCCCCATGTTTCTGTTTAGAAGTGTGTTTACGGTTCCCTCTAAAGTCTTTTTCTTCTCTTTCACTTTTGGTGTCCCCATATGTCTTGGTGGCATTATCATCTTGCTTGGTGTGGTAATTCTTACTCTATCTCGAGTGGCTCTTAAGCCTTGTACATAGTAAACATCATTGTAAAAAATATTTTGATATTATTAAGATTGGGTATAGTTTCTTAAAGAGTACATGTTAAAGAGCTGATAGCTGATATTATATGACTGTTATCTAATTTATTATTATTATTATTTTATACACATTTCTTTCCGGGTCCCGACCAGAGACCTAAGGTCAGAAATGGCATCGTGACATTTTCCACTGAGTAGTTATGAAAAACTATCTCACATATTTTACAGAGATAAAGCCTTTTATAAGGTGTGGGCTGTACTTGTGAGTATAATTTTTGTATTTCTTTTAAGGCATGGGCTACCAGGGATTCCTTCAATGAGTCTTTTGGAATCTTTTCCAGTCAAGCCGAGGGCTCCAAATACAATTGGAATTATTAATGTTCTCATGCGCCACATTTGTTAGATTTCGATTTCAAAGTCCTTGTATTTTGATACACTCTTGTGAAGATCTTCAAAGATACATTGCAGTCTGCAGGGACTGCCATGTCAATAAGGATGCACATTTTGTCTTTGCGGCCTCTAATCACGATGTCAGGGCGATTACCTTTGATTGTTCTGTCTGTGTGTATTGCAAAGTCACATAAAATTGTTACAGGTCCTATCTCCGTAACCGGGTCTGGATGGTGTTCATATCTATTTCTTTCAGTTGCCTTTCCGTTGAAGTTGCGGATTTCCCAGTGCAGGTATTGGCTCACTCTGTTGTGACGTGATATAAGATGGTCAACTGTTTCTGGATATTTATTACGGAATATGCATTTTGGACTAACACAATTTTTCAGCATGTGTGCTTGGTAAGTTCTAGTTAGCAAGCATTGGTCCTTCAGTTTCATCTTATAACCCTGCACTCCGTAGCTACTGATGCGTACGGGGTTTGTCTATATTAGCTTATTTGTTACGGGTAGATTATTAGCGTGAAGCATTTTATCTTGCTGTCATTTCTGTATCTGATTGGTTGCATTTGCCTTTGCTTCTTTAAAAGTATTTTACAACTTCAGTCAGTGTATTATGCTTTATTGTATTTCTTCACCCACTTGAAACTCCATTTTAAACATGTTGGTTTCCTTTATTACTGAATGAAGTCGCGTTTTATTCATTTCTTCATTTCATATTTATATTTGTGTATCACTTTAGTGATCTTGTGTTCATTTTTTGATATATATGGTTTTGTCTTCGAGTAATTTCCATTACTATAACTGCACAAACTTTGTCGGGAGAAATTATAAAGGGTTTTCCAATAATATGCACCGATTTTAAACTTATTTCTTATTTAAAATCGGTTCAGGTTATTGGAACACTCTTTATAAATGTTATTAGATCATTCTTCTAGGTTTTCATATAATATATATATATATATATATATATATATATATATATATATATATATATATATATATATATATATGTGTGTGTGTGTGTGTGTGTGTGTGTGTGTGTGTGTTGTGAAGAGAGAACAGAGAAAGATATGGGAGAAGATCTGTGGAAAAGACGGTTGTATTTTTTTTAAATTCATGTCTCGATCAAGAAAAATTCTGAAATAGAAATCTGAGGTTTGTGAATTTGGTGCGATTGTAGGAAGTGGAATGTGGGTAGAATGTTTCAGTATCGGCTCATATATTATGTTCATGCAACAGTTCCCATCAAATCTTTTTTTTTTTTAAATTAGACCCTAAATACAGACTATGTATAAATTTATAAACTCTACAAAACAGTTTTTATATCAAGTAAAGTATCACAACTGTACTTTTGAATTCTTTACTGAATGAGTTTCAACAACCTGACATCCATGATACAACGTATTATTTCTTCTTAGATTTCGAGTTAACGTTTCTAGTAAACTAGTACAGAAACTTCTCTTACCTTCAAAGCCATCCCTAAATAATCCAATTTCTTCAGATCTTCCGGTGAGGCCGGTCTGTTGGAATCACCTTGAAAAAAAAATTTTCAATTGATTGAAGTGTTTTATCAGTTTGATATAAAATAAACTTTGGATATTCTTTTCAGTATTAACCGCTCAAATCTTCTACTCCTTCATTATCCTTTCAGGACACGGATGATCATAGCTCTCCACAACCTTTCATCCATTGTAACTCTCAGCAAGATTTGTCGCTTTGTTAAAACTACAGTTTTCCGTCTCGCCATACAAGCTCGTCAAGTGGGTAAGGTAAAAAATGAAAATAAAATACCCAATGTTTTGCAAAGTTAGACATGGTCTCCTATGAGGTTGTACAACACAATCTTCCCACTGTTTACAAGTGGGTAACAATTAATGATGACTAATTAATAAAAACTGATAATTATACTCAAAATGAAATTGCAGAAAAATACATTAAATGTTTTCAAGTCATGAATTTAAGAATATTTTTCGTAGGTGATGTACACAGACGTATTGCTGCTTGTATATAAGAAAATTTAGGGAAAAATGACATGCCATTTTTATGACCTCTGGTGATACTGAATGACTTCCGCCAATACCCCTCAAATATCAGCATACATGTTACACTTTTGCCTACGTTAGATGATGAAAAATAGTTCTAAAATCAAATTTTCTAATTCATCAAAAGAAAATTGTTTACCAAAGACATCATCGATTTCCTGGTTAACTTTTTGTAAACTTCAGGATGAGAAACAATCATGTAAAGCGCCCACATCATACCAACTGATGTTGTATCATGTCCCTGTGTTTAAATAAAAAGACAAAAACGCTGACTTGCTTTCAAAAAGAGACAAAATATTCATCAAACATAGATTAGACTTCCTAATAATTATTATCTACACCATAATGAGTCAAGCATGATTTCATTTAACTTTACGAATGTCAATAAACATTTTCATTGTTATATTAATAATTTTACTTTCATGAAATGTGTCTATTTAAAATGAAAATATTTTTTCACGATACTGCCATACTGACTGATGCTGTCGATGAATATTTTTGGCATGTTGGTTTTCTTAGGGTCTTTCTGGTGTTTCCTTTGATTTGATTCAATTTATCAAACTGCGTAATTAAAATTACTTGTACGGCGATTCCTCTAGATCGTTTTTTCTTAATACAGGCGTCCTGCAGTAGTCTATTCTTGGATCTACTACGTTCCTTATTTTCATTAACGACATTCTTGATGTCATCAGTTCTCGACTCGCTATGTTGATAATAGTAAGTCTGATAGATTCGATAAAATTAAATTGGTAGCTGATCTCGAAAATAACTTACAATCTGTTGTTACCTAGAGCAAGAAGTGTCTTGTTAATTTTAACACCTCTGAAACGAAACTATTCCCAATTAAAGAACCATTTCTGCCTTCCATCATTAATCACTGACGCTAACCTGACAAGGTATGTCATAAATGGTTAGTGCTCAAGCTCTCCAGCTATGTAATCATTGGAAGAGTCTTCTCATTTATAAAACCTTCCTAAAGAGTAGATGGCTGAAGGTAGTTGTTAACAGTCACCCGAACGATGAGCCCTCAAAATTCGCTTCTCGGCTCAACCCTGTTCCTACATTACATAAATGATCTATCCGATCATTTGTAAACATCTATGCTGATGATACAACAGTATATGAGTGAACCTCCAAAATTATGTAAAAAATACCTTCGAAATAGTAACAAAAACATTATGATTACTTCAAATGTTAACAATTTTAATGTCAATGATTTTGTAAACTTTTGTGAATTTTACCGCAAACATGAATGTATCAACTTCCTCCTGCATATCTTCTGTCGTCAATTCACCTCGATGCCAGTTGTAAAGTAACATATCCAAAAATGCACGTCTTTTTTTCTTCATATAAAAATTTGATTCGTCAGCATCATCTACTTCTTCCTCCATTGTCTTTGCCTCGTTTTCATTATATTCTTTTTGGCGGTTTTCAATAACCTAAAGGAATAAAACAAATAATGAGAGAATTGAATAACAATTATCATTTGCTTTCTACCTTTTTTAATCAAAAGTGATTTAATGTACTTGCTGAAGAATAAAATGCATTTCTGAAAAGAAGAAAGTTTATTCTTGAAATCCCAGTAATTATTGAAAGCTGTTTATTGCGTGTGTGTATTAAATAAATGCAAGATATAAATAATCAAAATTGCTAAAATGGCAAAATAGAAGAAACTATTCTCAATTGTGTCACTGAGTTTAAATATAAATACAGGGAGACGCAAAAGCTGGTCAATGCGATTAATTTCGAAATTTTTGATGCCACTCTAGTACAAATATCTCCAGTTATTTCTATCCAGAGCTCATTGACAGCTGAGAGGTTACTCTTTAGCTTGTCTTTAATCCTGAGCCACGGCCATCCAACAGTGCTTTGTCCACTGTCAAGCTGTCGAAACATGAGTACCTTAGGTATTCTGTCATTACTCATCCTTCCAACATAACCAGATATATGAAAGTCTCAATTCTACCAAAATATTGCATTTTGCGAGATCAGCACTGAACACCCTATTTCCAAAAGTATATACATTACACATTATGAAATGGATAAAGTCCGTCAATTATTTTAAGACATTTTTATGTTTATATACATTCTTTTTATGGATACAAATATTTAAGTAAATGCTTTGTTTATAATAAACAGTATTAAACCACATTTACCGGCCTGAATGTCACGGAGGTCGAATATTTTCTGTGAAAATTTCTCGGACATTTAAAGTTTTTTATATAATTTCTCATGTGTTTGTATAATTTCCTTTTACTTTTCAGGGCATAAATTATATAAAAATTGTCCAAATGTTTTCCAAACTCTTTCGGCTATACTTTTAGTCATTATCAAGGATGAATTTTATTTTACTTTTAACTGAATACATGGATTGTTTTAAGCATGTATCTAGAGTTATGAGAATGTTTTATTTTTTAAACACGGTCAGCATATTTTGGGCGTGTTCATATTACTGAGACTTGTTTTTTTTTTTTCTCAATAATGCTTCCATTATTTTTAGCCTTTTTGTACATGTGGATGATGCTATTATATTTGTATTATCAACGAATATGTTACTGATGAAGTTTGGTACGTCTCCATGGGTATTTAAATGACACCTAATTGAGATATGGTCAGGCAGATGTAACGTGAGTTTTCTTGTTAAACATGTTGTAGTATATCCAATATAATTTTTTTTACAAATTTTGATGGTTAACACAGCATTTTAAGGGACATGTAAATTTGTGAATAATATTGGTTCTCTGTAATTTGGATCTTTCATGTGAATTATAATGTTATTGTTTCTTTTGTGTGTTTAGTGTTACTATTGGTTACCTTAGAAAGTAAAAGTTTAATATGCTAATCTATAAGATGGTTTGGAAAACCGTTATTAACAAGCGTTTGTTTCACGTTATTAGGTTCTTAAAGAAAAACGGACGAGTGTGTAAATTCTCGTGCGCTCTCATAAGGAAATTTTTAATAACACCTATTTTATATCAGAGGGGACATTGACTAGTAGAATTAAGATGGCAAGAGTTTTACTTCTGTTTATATCTATATCTATATATATATATATATATATATATATATATATATATATATATATATATATATATATATACGAAGTATTGAATGTATTATTAATAGACTCCATAAGAACATCCAAGAATAGAAGTTTATTCTTTTGGCTAAATCCATGAGTAAAGTAGAGGACAAAATTTTTTCGAATGTAGCTTTAAGATTATTAATTTTGTTTTCGTTCTCAGCTAAAATAATGATACCGACTACGTAGTGGACGTATATTTTCGGTTTAGTAACATTTTTAAAAACCTTTTTTTCTTTTTGGACATGTAATAGTTAGAAAACACAGACCTGGAGGATTTCCCATACTTACTCCATTAGTTTGAGTGTAATGAAAAATCGGAGTCTAATTCAGCTTAATGTTCCTTTTTTGAACGTAACTGAATTTTGACTAAAACGGCGTGACTTATTTATAGAAATCATAAGCCAGGGTTGTCTTACCACATTCTTCCCAGCTTGTTTTTTTCCTAGTCCGACACTAAATTATCCAGGTGACTGGGTCTCTTGAAAATTCTCTAGGATCGTCTCGGTGGCAACTGATATAGGCTTTCAGGTGTTACGGGAACAGTCGGCCAGAAGTATTTCGTCTCATTTTTTTTTGTGTCCTTCTAGGAGTGGGGCGCTCTAATTCTGAAAGCTGATTATCAGAATCTCCGGTAGTATGCTCTCATTCTGAGGAAGTTATTCTGGTGTCGATCTCTGAATCGTCACAATCGGGAGAATCCAACTGTGTTGTCGTTACTTTCAAAAGAGAGAAAGATATTGCGTCAGAGGAGAGCTGCTCTTCCCTCTGGTTTGATAAATCACCGATAGGAGCCAAATCTCTGAGGGGAAACGTTCGATTGTCTCCCATCGGAGTGCTGGATGGGCGCATAGGGTGGGATCGCCTTACTCACAAGAGAATCATACATGCTTTGTCGAACATGGTTTCTAAGTAAAACAGTACCTGGCTGTGAGTGCCGCGAAGGGTGGGAGATCCCGGCCGAACTTCACCTTGGAAATTTTAAAAAACATTTCGTGAATTGTTGCATTATTTCTTGTAGACACTTGTGTTCATATAGCGTACAGAGCCTTGGTTATTACATCTTCCCAATGCCTAATTGGAAGGTTTTGATTTTCGAGTACTAACTGTATGGTCTTCCATATTATGCCATTGTATCTCTCACATTATCAATTCCCTTGAGGGTTATATAGGCTCACGGCCACTCCCTGTAGCAATAGGAATTTTCTTAGTTGGTCGGACATAAAAGAGGTCCCGCGTACTGTGTGAATATAAGCTGGAGCTCCAAATATTTAGAACAGTGAGCAAAAACAGCGTATGATCGTTGTTACACTTCTGAACAGGGAAAGGCAAAAGGATACCGCGAGTACTCGTCAACGACAGTTAGTAGACATTTGTTTCGGAATTTAGATGGAAGAGGACCCTTAAATTCCACGCTCAGCCTCTCAAATGGCTTTTACTAGGGTTCCCGGTTCGGGTTTGTAGTACTTTGGTTTTATTTGAGGGCAAATCTGACAACCGTTTGTTATTCGTTTCACGTCCTCAACTGAAAAAGGCAAATTCCGGCTTCGAACCATACGCATCATCCTCATAATGCCTGGATGACAAGGTTCATTATGAACTTTTTGTAAGTCTTTGGTACTCTTTATTGATCCACACACTCTTGACAGCGCGTCCGCCATGGCATTTTCTTTTCTCGAGCGATAGAAAACGTCGAAAAACAGGAAAGCTCTATCCTCCATTTTTTTTATTTTGCTAGACGTCTTGGAATTAAACAAAAAAGACTGACTTTTGGTCAGTGATTAACTTAAAGCAGTGACCAATTAAGAAATGTCGCCATTTTTTAGCGCCTCGACTATTACATAAGCCTCCTTTTCAACAGCTGGATGTCTGCGCTCAAATATTGACAATGTTCTAGAGAAGAACGTTACAGGGCCCGGATTGTCTTAACCTGTTAGCTATGACGAGATCGTAAGCGTCGGTCTCTACTTCTAGGGGAATATCAGGATTCACCGAAGTGATGACTGAGTTGGCAATATCTCTTTTTAAACCCACAATGGCTTTTAATGGCAGAAAAAGGTAAAGGAAATTTGGTAATTTTCGTGCGTGTATTTTTTTTTCAGAAAAGGAGGGTACCCATTGAAAATAAAGAGCGAACATACCCATAGTTCGTAGCAAGGCGGCTATGGTGTTGGGAATATAGGTAATTTTAGCAGTGGATTTAGGCGTTCAGGATCCAGATTCATGATTCCATTGCCTACAATATATCCAAGTAGCCTGATGATAGACGACCTATAAGAACTCTTGTTATGTTTGAGTGTAAGATTATATTTCTTGACAGCCGCCAAAAACCGTTTTAGGTTGCGATTGAAGTCGACCTAGGCATGGCCGCACACTGTCACATTATCTATGAAGGCAAATGTGCATTGCAATTTTTATTCAATAATTATTTTATCGAGGACCCTCTGAAAACTGGAAACCTCGTTAGTGACCCAAAACGGAATTCGTCAGAACTGATAAAGTCGTCCGCAGACTTCAAAAGCCGTATAAATCTTTTGGTGGTAAGCACTCATTAGATCTAACGCTATTTTGATTCTGTATTTGGCGATCTCGTTTATCATCTCGTCAATACGAGGTATACGGTATGCATCCAGGATGGTGTACCTATTTATAGTTTTGGAGTAGTTTATGACCATCATTTTTATTATTATCTGATAATACTTGTGCCCTCCATGGTGATCTGATTTTTTCGATCATTCCTTCTCTTAACTTTCTTGTTATTTCTGCTTCTTCAAAAGAATATTTTCGAGATTTGGTGGCCACTGGCTTACAGTTTTTAGTTAAGTTTCCGAAAAGAGAGGGGTATTTTACATTTATATCTGCCAATCCACAGATGTTCAACGATGCTTTAGGGCCCCAAAAAGGGAGATAAATGCTAGGATCCTTTTTGAGGAAATCGTGGCCCAGTATGACATCGCAGCACAGATTTGGCATTACGAAAAATTTGGTGTTAGTGTAGCTAGTTTGATTCAGCTCTCGGCCGGCCAAAATGTATCCTCTAACCTGCGAAAGTAGTGAAGCGTTCGCCATAGCCACCTGACTATTACAATGTAGAGATTTTAAATATGTTTCTTTTCGCAATATCAGCGCTAATAAAACTCTCTGAGATTGTCGAGCTGTCTAGAGCATTCATTTGTAACCCGTTTATTTTTACCGTTAATATAGCCTTTGAAAAAAATTTAGCGTTTGCAGTTGATACAATACTAGTCGCAATATGAGCATTTGAACCAGGTGAACGGAGACCACAAAAATAACAGTGTATGCTGTGTCTTCCGAAGTGAGAAGATTTTAAACTGACAAAAGTGGGGGCAGAAACGAGAAAGCTTGTCGTACAGGACTGTCTTTTTTTCCTCTGGCTCGTTTGAACTGGTGTACTAGCAAGAATAAGAGTACATAGTGCAGCCTCTTCAACACTTGTTTGTATATATGAACAAGATTGGTTTTCTGCTATCTCCAAGGTAAGTTTATTTTCAGCAATGTTTGATGAATATAGTTCTATTCCAATCCATTTATAAAAGAGTTTTTGATAAATTCGTGCTTTGCCTGATTTGCTATCGTCGCTTGAAAGTCGCAATCTCGATTTAAGATTTTTAATCCCTGGACATCCTGTTCTAATCCCTCTTCAGAGGATTACCATCTAGTTACTAATACATGCTGGGCAAAGATTTTATTTCGTCTCTTCACAAAAATTCCATAGAAAACGTCCATGACACTCTGTTAAGTTTTGCAGTGAAAAATATTGATATATATATCTAGATAGATAGATATAGAAACATGATGCATTAGCAGGTTAAGTCTATCCGTATCAGTAATAAAAGTGGACGAACTGTTTACCAGTGCAAACAAGGATCCTTTGAATATTGACAGGCGTCAGTAGAAGACAGGTCTGCAAAGTCCAAGTTGAGACGTTCTGGTTTAAGATATTTGTTCATAATTACGAGTCTAGTGAACGTAACTGAAGAATCTTGCCGTTTTGGCTAAAATGGCGTGACTTATTTATACAAATCATAAGACAGGGGAGGTAATCGGGTTGTCTTACCACAGAAGAGGACTTTAGTGCACGCATGCAATAATTGTTGAGAATATTGGGGGTTTGATTGAATTATTGTTATATACGGAGTTAAGGATTATATCTATGGCTTCGTCAACAGGGACATTTATAAATAAATTTTCTACGTCAAGTGACGCTAGAATGCCCCCGTTTGGTTTTGTAGTTTGAAGGATTTAGAAGAATTCATGTGTTGAATTGATGCCATAATTGGTAGGTAGATATGAGGTAATAATATTATTGAGAAATTTTGACAGTTGGCATATAGGTGTTAGTATCTGTGAAATGATAAGTCGTAAAAGGTATCCGGGTTTGTGTATTTTAACATTTTCGTGTAGATATCCTGGTTGGTAATAATTTTATTGATTTTCAAGGATCCTACATCAGCATTGTTAGATGTTATGAGTTTGTTGATAGATCTTTTTAGAGTGTCAGTGGTGCTTTTATTGTAAATTTAGATCGATCATCGATGAAATGCTGTAATTTTTTGTAATAATCCAATTTGTCCAAACTTACGTAACTATTGGATTTATTAGTTCTGCTGACAAAGATATTAGGTTTGTTTTTTAATTCTTTTGCAGCGGTTTTGAGTTTTATTGTTGGAATGTTATTCTAGCTATTGCGAGGAGTACGATCTTCTGCGTTGAGAAGATCTTTTTGGTTTGGAGGGAGTTTTATTAATATGACATTTTTTCCAGTTGGGATAATGATACATGTAAGAATTCGATTTCAGTCTTCTTTGTGAGGAAAGTCAAATTTAGGCTGGAGATGGCATTAGGTTATAGATTTAGGAATTCCTTCTGGTTATCAGTTATATATTTATCACTGTTGTTGGAGACCTACCAAACTCTATCCGTAACAAACAAATATAATAGCATCATCCACATGCACAAAAAGGCTAACAATAATGGAAGCATTATTAATAAAAAAGAAACAGCAAACACTTAATAATATTAACTATGAACACGGCCACAGTATGCTGACCGAGTTTGGAAAATAAAATATTCCTATAACTCTAGAAGCATGCATAAAACAATCTATGTATTCGGCTAAAAGTAAAATAAAATTCATCTTTGATAATGGCTAAAAGTATAGTCGAAAGTGCTTTAAAAATAGTCGGACAATTATTATATAATTTGTCCTGAAAAGAAAAAATTACGAACACATGAGAAATTATATAAAAAGAACTCAACCACTGTACCTTGTCACTCTTTTTCAACGAAACTTGCATATATATATATATATATATATATATATATATATATATATATATATATATATTCAGTGGTATGGATATGGGTTTGTGACCCTGGTTGCACGCTTTTGCAATAATCAAACAAACTGATTGTCTGATGATTGCAAAAAAGTGAAACCCATGGTCACAAACTCATGCCCATACAACATAATTGTTAGCTCTATCACCAATATTGAGCGCTTTCCACTAAATACTGGAAATAATATATATATATATATATATATATATATATATATATATATATATATATATATATATATATATAAGTGAAAATTCGTGTCAACACCCAATCATATATATATATATATATATATATATATATATATATATATATATATATATATATATGTGTGTGTGTGTGTGTGTGTGTGTGTGTGTGTGTTTGTAAAATTTATCAAAAACCTATTTAGTTTGTAAAATTATATCACAACGCCTATTTTTTAGAATCATATAAAAGATCAAGATAAAACATTTAATATTCTACAATGAATTCTATAGAGATTTCTCTATTACTACATTTATGCGTGACAAGCATTTCTCCGTTACCATTCTTAAAACAAATTTTCAATATGTCTAATATATTGCTTCAACACTTACACTCTTTGTAAATCCGTGAAGAATTTTAAGGTACCTGTCGAATTTGCGGCCATCTCCGAAAAAATAAAAGAGGAAATTCGGCCACATCCATGGTGATTTCTGGCGCTGCATTGTGATCTCGCAAACACTTAAATTAAATAAAAAATGATTGTCAATAACAATTCTGTTGACAAGCAGGAAGGAAATTTTGTTAAGAAACATAAGAATTTCCGATGAGATTTAAAACTGTTATTTTCAATCTCCACTTCTTTCTATGTGAATTTGTTTTTTATTGATTCCTAATTTCAGAAAATCAATTCTTATTTGTTTCATTCTGCCTATTAAAAATATACAAATTCCCGTTTAAACTCTATTTATTTTGATGATTTCAGTTTAATTATCAGAATTGATTTTAAATGGGAATTTGTATATTACACTACAAATATTTTACAAGATGATATTTCGTAAAATTATCAATTTTTACTATTTGTATACAATTGCCATACAATAAAGAAAATTATTGCTACGCTTGTTCTTAGTATTTTACAACTGAATAAAAAAGATACTTGAATAATCCGCCATTGGCACAAAACAGTGGTTCACAATTCTTCAACAATGAAAGAATTCATTAAACGTAATCCCAGAGTCTATCGAACTATTTCCAGAGATCAATAAATACAGAACAGAAATTTGTTAAAATATCTAAAAACTTTTGGATACATTTTTTAAAAGTTGATCAATACATCAACATAGCAGTTTAATCTAATTTTTAAAAAAATTGTCAATTAGTCAATAATTATTTACAACATAAAAAATTCTAACGGTTCTATTTGTACGGATGAAGATGATGAGACAATGTAGAAAATTTATTAACAACGCGTTTCGCCAGAGCGTCTACTCTATTTAGCTTCTTCTAGGCTAGAATCTAGCCCGAGGAAACCAAAGAGAAGAGACACTCTGGCGAAATGCGTCGTTAATAAATTTTCCACTTTGTCTCATTATTTTCACTTTTGTTTCGGATATTGTTATATATCCTAAACAAACACACAAGATAAAAGGATGTAAAAAGTCACATATTATTTCTATGTTTTCATTTCTTTTTCAAAGTTATGGATCAAATGAATGGAACTTACTGATGTAAAGCTTTTACATATTGGGAACTCGAGTCATTCTGTGTATTTAGATGTTTCCCCATGGCTGTTTCTGTGAAGAAAACAGAATGCAATAATTAAAATTATTTAAACAATTAAAAAAAACTATCTCAACTGCAACAAGCAAGCCAATTATCCTTTTCTCTTTTAATTATTATTTCTCTAGCAAAATAAATAAATAAAAACAAACAGTGTCATTTTTGAAAATGCAACTATAATCTTAGGTTGTGAACATTTCATACGTGGAATGTAGTTAAATTTTCATTAAGTGGGAAGGATTTTTTAAATTTCATTCCTCATAGTTGTGGAATTCTGTATCGACTTTACGTTGAATGTGATCAACCCAGACCTGTATAGCGTGTGTAGCTCTTTAAGGACTGGGGGCAAACAGTTAACATGTAGATGTCCGTTGCTGGAATTAGATTAAGAAATTTTTTTTTAAAGAAATTAATATTTTTAAACTTTGGATTAACTTAAGTTTATTATTCAAGATGCTGAAGTAAGTAAAAAGTTTATTCATTTTATTTGAACCTGCATTTTTTTATCGGTCCGAAATTCACAAGTGTCATTAAGAATTTTATCACATAAAGTTAATATAAATTTAATATTTTCCTCTATGCTATTGTTCTTCAACAATAACTATATTAAGAATAAAATTAACTTTTTATGGATGACTTATGTTTTCCTTCAGACATCATTGCCTTGCCAATATTGTCTTTCTCTTTTTTTTACATTTTTTGTTTATTTTAAATAAAGGTTAACATTAACAAAAAAATTCATTAAGAAAGTTAATTTAATTTTTTATGCTATTATTCTTCATAATAACTGAATATATCAGTGTTGGCCAACAAGATTTTGTCTCAGCAGTTTAAATCAAACAATCAGCTGTTCATCCAATGTGTTGATTTTTTTTCATTGAAAGTATTCCAATATTTTTAATTAAAATTTTTGAAAACTTGAGATTTGAATGTTACCATGATGGAATAAATACAACAAATTTTTCTCTTTCTAAAATTCGAATATCAATGTTTCAGCACTGGTCACAAATCAATGAACCAATTCATTATCTTAATAACTTAAAATTTAATAATAAAAAACTAAAAGAACATATTATGTCACCACAAAGGATTGAGACAACACATTATGGTTTTGATATTCTTATCAGGGCATTTGAATATTTTGTTACATATTACGGTCATTATATAACAAACTTCAGGTTGATTTTAAGTTACCCAGTGTGAGAAAATTGTCAGCTTTGACATCAGAAGTTTCAAAATTAAATGAATTTAATTTTCTTGGCGATATTTTAGTAAAATCTCTGAAAATCAGACAAATTTGCCTGTCAAATTTGCTCATGGAGGAAATACATTTGGTTTGGCTAAAAAAATTTAGGGATTAGCAAAAACAGTATTGAATATCATAGCAAAATTTTTAAATGGTTGATCAAAATTTTTACTTAAAATGATCCCAATTCAAAATTAGGGGCAGCTTTTTATATGAAAAAAATTAATACAATCAAACTGTCAAGTAATTGCAATGATATATGACAATAAAACGACCCATCAATCTTTTTTTGCCAAACAATTGATGTTGTTTAATAATAAACATTGTATAACTAAAAATAGTTTGTACTTACTTTTTAATTAGGTCCTCTTTTAAAAAAATACTCGGAATAATTGAATTACTGAACCTACTTCCGAATTACGGTTTAATTCTGAAGGCAAATAGATGATAGCAAAATGGGAAATTGTAAAAGGTATTTTTGATCAGGGAAAAGCATAACTTGTTAAGCTGTCGAAACTAACTTATGTAGCAGTTTACTCAAAACCTGTTGAGCGACAAAATATTTCCCATTGTTTAAAAGTTTTTTTGTGATAAATCTGTAGCTGCTATTAAAACATATCTATTATTAAATATGGTGAAACAGTTAATTTCAATGAGAAAGTTTTAAAGTTTTGGAAAATTTTCAGTGTCAAAGAAATATCTGGTGATACTAATAAAAATGATCCACTGTGATGTCAGATTTCGATGATGAACATGTTTTTTTCTTTCTAATTCTAGAAAAATGACAAAAAGAATGGGAGGAAATCAAGGAAAAAAATGAAGTCATTAACAAGAGATACTAGTTTAACCATTGAACATACACACAATGGCTTAATTGATGTTTGTAGCTATTCGCTAAGTAATGAGTTTAATTTTGTTATGCTTGGTGAATTTATCACAAGAATTTGGAAAATTAAGACAAAGTTATGGAGGTGCAGTTATAATTGTTCAAAAAGTTACTGAAAAAATTAATATTGGAAAAACTAAAATACTTCTTAAATTAAATGTTGATGTCAAAGAAATCAACTTTGATCAAAGTCATAATTGCTCAAAATTTGGAAATTCTCTGGATGAAAGGGATGCTAAACATTTGATAACATATCAGACCTTGAAGCTAGGATATCTGAAGATATTAAAATGACACATTTGTATATAGAGGGTATGTTACAAGAAAAGATTGTCCCACAGAAGAGGAAATATTTAATAATACTAGTTTTTTAAAAATATGAGCATTTTTTGAAAGAAATAGATTGTGGTAATTTAAAAATTTCACTGGATAACTCAAGGATATCAGATATTTTTCATTTCCAGTTCCCCACTCTTTACACGTATTTTATTGTTTAACTCACTAAATATCCTGTAAATTAATTTTGTGTTTTTGCTAATGTAAATTAATTTTAATTTTTAAAACAATGTATAGTGTTATATTATTGCATCATAGCGAAATATGTATTTTCTGCATTTTACGTGAAACAAATTGTACATGTAGCAAAAATCACAATAAATTGTGTAAATATTATCAAAATTATTATTTCTCTTGAATTCATACAAACTATTTCAGACTTTGTTGATTTTGTAAAATGTTGAAATTGTTTCTGATTGTGTTATACAATTATATTTTCTGTAATCAATTGGTATAAACAAATTAACTAATTTAGTGATTTTTGTGGATTTAGTAATTTTATGGTATTTTTGTTCTTTCTTTGTACATTTACATTTATGGAAATAAGTCAATAATTGTAAGATACTTCCTAATAGTATAGCTAGTTGCTAATTAGCTAATCACTGGACATTAATAACAAGTCCCTTGCTAATAAAAGTAATTGTATTTAGTCGTAATTTAGATATCCACACGTCCGCCCCCAGTTATGGGACCCAGACGCATGGTTGCCAGCCTTAGGTTAACGTCATTTTTTCAGATTTCAAAACTTCAAAATGAATGGCGTTCAACTTTAGAATAAGCAAACTAATATGAAAATATTTTAAAGGAGATTCATTGTTTAAATTCTCCTATGTGTGATTGTGTGTGTTCTACTTTGCTGAAATTCATTTACACATATTTACACAAATAGAAATTATATTGTTCGAGCTAAATACCTAATACATTTTATTTGTTAAGTCTAATTTTAGATTTTTCTTTCATTTAAGAAGAGTATTTAATGGCAAATTGCCTAAAGTGTGCATATATAAAAGGCTACGTTTAAATTTGCTCATCAGACCATCCGTCCCAAGTGCTGGCCTGGATACCGGTGTTAATAAAAATTCATTTAAGATTTCTAACAATCTTGTCCCACTCACAGTAAAATTTACGATAACTAAACTGTGTCATTTTTTGTTTGCAAAAACGGAACTCTTTCCACAGATTTGATAATCAAAATGAATATCTTACCACAGATGATATCCAAAGCACAATGCGTGATATACGGAGAGATATTAAACTCTTCTTGTCCAATATGTTTTTCTAGTTTCTCACACATGATTAATGCTTGCTCATTGAATATCACTATAAAATCAATCAGAATGTTATAATGAAAGGAAGGTGTCAACATCTTTCTCCGTTTTGCCCATTTTTCCCCAGTACTAAAAACAAAGATATAAAACACATATTGAAATATTACAAAAATTGCAAACCAAACAACTAAAGCTGTTTCTTTTGCACGTGTTCAAAGTAAGTAATATATAAATGTCTTTATGCATAAAATACAGTTTAAAAAGCTCCACCTTAAAATGTGAAAAACACTTGCATCATCTCTCACTCTCTCCCCTACTTTTTACTTACATTTGCATTCACACAGGTAAAATATATACCTACATTCATATTGAAAAATATATATCAGTAACACACATGTTATACAATCAAATTTTAAAGATTCTAATTCCATGAATGATCATCTTTTATTTGTGATCGCTTGATTCCAAGTGATGAAGTCTATATTGATGTTAAATGACCGATAGTTATTTTTACAAAGAAGATAATGACAGGTCCAAGTCGGAGCGAGTTTGTCATATTCAAAAGAAATCAGTCCAGTAAATACACCAGGAAGAATTATGTAGTTGTTAAGTTTACATGAATTAACCTTATGATGGCACCTAAAAGCTATAAATATAACATTGTACCTGGACAGGTACAACTCCGTCAATATGACTGAATCACACAATTGATTCATATATCTAAAACAATTTCTGCACAAGGAGCATCAATACATTCCATAAATTTTGAGTTAGCAGTTACTCGGAAGAAGAGTTTATCTACTGCACGGAGGCCGGAAGTGATGCAAACCTGTTGCTTCTTTTTCCTTAAAAATTCCTTATCTGACTCATGCTGCTTTTCTCGATGCTACACGGCCGTTCAACATATGCTAATGGTAATATTAGCCGTTTACCTATGAGGAAACATTTGGAATTCATTGACCAAGCAGCCAATACCGCTGTCAGTTGAAAATTATAAATTCTTTCTATTAAAACAAGTTTTCAGGAAAATAGGTTTATCAAGACCAGTAGCTGTTATCGCTCTTTTCAGTAATGATGGGGAGTTCCTTCCTAATAACCTTTTATTTGAATAGTGTGTAACGTTAAAATCATGATTATATTATCATTTTCCCTTCGCGTTACATGTACTATCCATTTTAGTTGTTGCTATATCATTTGTAGACTAGTAATATCTCACAAACAATTGCTTCTGTAACCTTACCATTAGTTTTTGTGTTCATTATTTGAAAAACCTATCTTTCCTCTATGGTTGTATAGCCTATATCCATGTACAACAGGGAGGTTCTAACCAAAGCATTAATTAGTTGATTTGTATCAATCTTCAAATCACAATGTTGTTGTAGGGTCCAAGAAAACGGCCAAAAGACATGGCTATATTCTGTTACCAACAGACATTGTATAAAGCAGTTATTGAAAAACGCAAGTAATATTTTGAAACTTTTCCAAGTTTCTACAGACATTCTTCGAGAAAATCATAGAATTTTCTTGTCATAATTCTGAAAGAGAATCATTCTTCATTATATACCAAATTCATTTAGCTAAACCATCATAAAACCTTATTTCTTATAGAGTTTTATTTACATAAACAAATTATTTAGATTGCTTACCTTGTAATTAGCCCAAATCGCAGCCACGGATGTATAAATTCATACCCCCTATTCTTATCAAGATGTTTGCTACTGCCAAGAATTTTCTGCAATTAAAATCATTATTTGCCGTTAGCACTGGTTTTTGTTATGATTTCTCAAGAATAGAGTAATATTAAATTAGACATACTTCGAAACACAATTATCATTATAACTTTGTATTTAAAATGATTTTCCCCTAAATTCTCAGGATGAGTGAAAAACCGATATAACTCGATAAATTTCATACTCTCTTGTTATATCTCGAACTTAAAATGTTATTAGTTGTTTTATTGTTCTTTTTTGTTTTATTATTTGTTTTTATTCTTCTAGAGGTTCATAACATTCCCACTGATGATCTACACAAATATTTAATTTTAGTAACAAAAATGAAAGAAAGCCAACAATTTTACGCAAAGTTATATTGAATAAAATTTGGTGTAGTCAGTGAAAGATGGTTGAAATCAAGCCTTTTTCGCTCGAAAACTGCTGTTTTCAGCATGTTTACATAACTTACACAAAGTTGTAGTAAATAAAATTTAGTGTTCGCAAACTTACGGAAACAAGTGAAAAGTAATTGAAATCACAGGATTTTCGCTCAAAAACTAGTGTTTAAAACGTGTTTACGCAATTTACACAAATTTATAGTAACTAACATTTGATATTTGCAAACTCACGAAAAGAAATGAAAAGTTTTTTTTCAAGCAGCCTTCGTCTCTGTCTGCATGATTTATCTTTTTGTCGCTAGTTCAATCCTAGTTTAAATATAAACTGTAATATTTACACATCAGTTAGTTTAAATGGGAAGTCTTATTTCTATTAATTGTCAAAAGTGTTGGTTGTGCAGTTGAAAATAAAAACCGAAAATAAAAATAGAAACATTTTTTCTTATTACTAGATAATATTTTTACATTTACTAAATCGCCCGTAATCTAATTATATATAGAATTGAATAAAAGTCTTCAACGAATACAAACTTACTTGGGCTTCGTTTGTTAAGGTTTTTAATACTTTCGCTATCTGCAAGCATATATGTAAGTTGGGCACATTCGCCCACATGTATTAGACAAACATAAAAATGGGTCATTCACAGTGCACCAACATTAATGGTATAATTGTATTGTTTATTGATGTCCTCACAATAATCAATAATTGTTTTTCAGTAGTTGGACGGTTTTTTGGCAATATTTCTTCTGTTCAAATGAAAAGTTGAATCCTTGATACTGAATATTGATTCTTGGAATAAGAGTTTACATGAAAATTCATTTTTGATTTTTTTTTTAGTATTTCTAATTTTTACTTGCTGGCCGTAGAAACAAATGAAATACATCAGAAAAGTAAATATTATTAAAAAATATTATTTCTTGACATACTCGACCGGGGTCAGTAAATGTTTTCTATTTCATATTACTCCATTTCACCACTTCTTGTAACTACATCAATGTTCTTCCATTTTTCACGCATTCCTGACAAATTCATAACACGCTTACACACACACACACACACACACATATATATATATATATATATATATATATATATATATATATATATATATATATATATATATATATATATATATCACTTAAACGTTATTTTTAGTGGATACTCGTATTTGAGTACACGCTCCATTTCATGTTTTTACCAGAGCTCATATTGCAATTTTTGTTATTATTATCGCTTTTCTCTGGAACTCCTTATTACTGGTTCCCATATTGTATTCATTTCTATGCTTGGTCGTCTCAGGAGTGACCTAACATATGTGCTGATACCTTAAGTTTAAGAATTTTCCAATGGTGTTCCTTGTCTATTATCTCAACCTGATCCCACAGAGGGCAGTGATCTTCCTTCTCTCTACATATGTGGTCAGCCACGCCTGATTTTTCCACTTTCCCTCGTGTTACAGCTTTCTGATGTTCTTGAAGCCTTACCTTAAGGGGGCGGCCTGTCTCCACTTTATATTTCTTTCTTTATATTTCATAATAGTTTGATAATTAATAATAATTATCCGAATTCAAAACTTTTCTAATGTAAAACCATTGTTTATTACATTTTGTTCGCCTGTAAACAAAGTTTTCCCAAGATATAGAAAACAATAAATGATAACAATTCAAGAAAAATGGATTTTTAAAATTAAAATCTGACAGACGTTTCATTTGATTAGCAGACTTTATGCATACGTATTGTACATATAAGTTACTTACTTGCATATATTCAGCCCGAAAAATAATTAGCAAAGGTTCCATTCCCATCTGCATTATGAACATTCCATGATTTCGGTAAGTCTCTGTTAGCTTCTGCATTTTTGCATACATTTCTAAGAGAAAAATCAAATACGGATTGTATTGATTTGATATTGGGACGTAAAAAGAATGTTTGCTTTTAACTTTTTACCGGTAATTGTCGGGCTAACAGTTGAAATGTTCCTGGTAAAAAAGTTTAGTTGTGTAATCATTACATGGAACTAAGTTAACACAAGGTAATAACACAAGTCTCGTACGTTTTAAAATATAAATAGATTTCTAATATAATACCAAAATACATTCATATTCTAAATCAGTGTTTCTCAACCAGGGTCCAGATGGATTCTGGGGGCCCATGTAACATTACTAGGTGTCCATTCAAAAAAAAATAGCAAATTGGAAGTCAACGGTGATATTTTAATGGTCCATAGAGAAACGAAACGGTTTTTACAACTGAGAATTGAAATTTCTACAGTAATCTACCCCATTTTAAAATACTAAAAATAGAAAATTCTAAAACTAACAAAAACGAGATCAAGCAATGTAAGTTAGCGCCCCTTTTGCTCTATCGGATGTTTTGATTGTAAATGTTGAATAAAAACTGAGGATATATGAAGGGTATATATATATAAAGAAAGGAAAATTATATAAAGATTATAATTTATTATATAAATTTATTTATTATATTAATAAGAAATAATAATATCAATTTTAAATATTAATAAAATAAAATATTAATATATTAATATAAATTAATTAATTGTGAAAAGGGGTGATCTTCGACTATCATTGACATCAATGGAGCCGAATAAAAAAAAAACTCGCAGATCAGCATCAACTACAGGAATCTCATTGAATATATCTGCACTTTTTTTAAAATTTATTAATTATTCATATATTTTAAAATGGTTTATATTATCAGTTATTTTACTAGTGTACATATATATGTTCCATAGAAATTAGTTGTTAAATTCAAGTTTATTTTCATTAAATTAGTTTCACTTCAAAATAAAGCATATACATTTACTATTTCTATAATACAATTCCTAAACCTATCTGTTGACAAAAAAAATAAAATAAGTTTGTTTTTTTTCATTGAATGGTTATAAAGGTCCACCAAAAATGTTAAGCGTAAAAGTGGTCCATGGGTAAAAAAAGGTTGAGAACCACTGATCTAAATCAATTCACAAGCTACGAATAGGAAAATGAAAACAATTATTCACATCAAATATTTTCATTATGATTCGATTTCAGAAGAAAATTAAAAAAATAAATAGTAATGTGGACAATTTTGGCTCTTCATTCTTGGCTCTGGATAGAGGAATTTTAAAAATTGAAACCAAATAGTTGCTTAGATATCCATAATCTGTCGACTTAATTGATTATTATAAGTTAGAATTTTGAAAAATCATTGATGGAAAGTAGAAAGAAAATGAAAAGAGAAATAAACATTACCTTCCCCGTCGCCCATAATTCTTAAAGATGCACCGATAATTGGGTAGTCGTTTAAGTGCAATAGCTTTTTATTTTCATCACATTTGGAAACAATCAATTTATTTTGTCGTATCCAGATGAAGAAAGATAAAGCGATTACCAGAATAAAACCAATGAACAGAGTAAAAAGTGCCATTCTGTGACGATTTGTTCAACAAGAATGCCCAAACTTGCGTAGGTTTGATAAATGTCATGCGAAAACAGTAAACAGATTCGGATATACTTGCTTGCTGCTCAATGTCCTGACTATTGGCCGTGCTGTAGTAGTAGTGAAAGTTAGGCAATCGGGAAAAGGGATAAAAGTAATATGTGACATCAAAATAAAATATAAAAGAATAAAAGTCAGATAAATTAATTCTTAATCGACTCTTTCTAAAGAAGTGATGAGCAAGTAATCAAAGAAAAGTAAGCAAAGAAAAAGTCTGGAGTATAAAGTGTGTTAATTGGTCATGAATATCACCGCCTCTCCTGAGAGCCAACCGGATTTTGTTTAATTACATAATTAAATCTGACATGAAAATATTTCAATGTCTCGATATATAGGAAGCTTATAAAAAAGGAATTTTAAGCATTCTATTTTCTTTATTCTAAAGAATAATATTTAACAAGAACCATTAATAAAGTTTGAATAAACGTCAAGTTTTATTGCAGCTGGTTATTCGTGTCATATTTAATGGGAACAGAATTTGTGGCAATCTTTAGATAAGTGAAAGCTGAAACATGAAATAAACCTTGGTATTTTTCGAGTTAAGGTTATTGTTGAGGCACAAAAAATATAAACTGCTATGTATGTATAAACTGCTATGGTATGGAAAAATCTAACGATAATAAGTCAATCTGTTAAAGATTATTGATAAGATTGTTTTTACGGTTTATCAACGTTTTGCAGGTTACTTAAAGCCAGAAAATATTTTAGATTCTAAGAAATATTGAAATAGACGTCGATCAATGAGAAATGATCATCAAATAAGAATGAAACAAGCATAAAATATAAATATTCGAAATAAAGATTGCATGAAACATTATCATAACTAACAATCAAGTTTATCATAAATCTGGCACATTAGACAATTTGTTATCTGAACGTCAGCAGATAAAACCTGAAAATTTCGTGATAATGATACAGTTCTTTCTAAGAGTTGAGATTAACAGAAATTAATATAAATGTCGTATATACTCGTATATAAGCTGGATTTTTTGTATGAATTTTAACCCCTCCGGGAAAAAATGTACTTGTGTATAAGGCAACCAGTTACCCAAAATGCATGATTTTTATCCTCTTCAAAAAGATTACTTGTTTATAGTGTCATCCTCTATTTTTTTCATCAAAAACTGATCATATAAATTTTGTAATCGTCTTAATTAAAAAAATAAAAATACAAAAAATATATAGTTGGATTAAAATACTTCTCCTTAAATGCATGTATTGTGAATAAGTTCGAAAACTATTTCGAATTTTTTTTATATTTTGTGGGAAGGAAAAATACATGCAAAGAGAAAACAATCAGAATATGAATTATACTTCTTGAACACAGCGCCATGCAAAGGAAATAAAGCTACTCGCCTAAACAAACATAAATTATTTAGACGACAAATGTGTTATGAATCGTAGGAAAGAATTGAACATTATAAGTTACGCCATTCTATTATTAATTTTATAACTACTTTTTCTTTTCATAATGTAATCTCAGTTTATTTGTTTTTATAACAATGACTCAGACTATTATTCTATAGCACAGGTCGGAAAAATAAATAGACCATTGGCAAGAAATGAACTTCCGTCCTTTTGATTAAACTTCATCTACATAGATCAACGGACAAATTCAACCATTTTTCATATTCCCCAAACACTCTGCACTGATATTTTTTACGCTACGTTTGTACATACATTACTAGTAATATTAATTTTAACGACATTATAATACGAATCTTTTTTCGATTATTAGTATTTTTAAATATTTCTTCCTTCTTAATTAAAATGATTTTTACATCGCAACTACTCTCCAATCAGTGCTTTTTACTTACGGAAAGGTAAATGAGTTTGTATTAAACAGACTAATTTGGATCATTTCAAAACAACGGAATTAAAATTTTCGTTTTTCTTACCAATTTCTAGATTCTCGTTGTAGTCCTTGCAATAATTGGTAGCACCAAATGAATTCTCATTGCCTCCTTAGAAAAATGAACAAATATGTTCATGCAAATAATTGAAGTGTTAGATCTCCCCATTTTGAATTAATTTAATCAAATTTACTTGACAATGTGGCCAATAATACAGAAATTTAGCTTTCTTACTTTCTTTGGCGTCTTTACTTTGGACTGGGTAAAGTAAATGAAAATGAAAATAGTCAATGAACATAAATCTAGAGATTTAGTGTTACTTTCAACGAAATCCATGTTTAAAACACAACAATTTTGCTTTAAAGTGTATGTTAATCAAAATAAAGTTTTGAAGAATATGAGCCATGAAAAGCAGGAAGATTATCACATATAAATCAAGTTTTCAACCGTAAAATCGAACATGGTATGATATGAATTGTTAATTATTAAGGAACACAAATGGTTGCAATAGTACTTTGCCTAGAATTAATTAATTTCTAATTTGCACGAAGATAATGTTGTTCACACGCTAGTATTCCATATGCTACGATATTTTCTTTGAAATTATTATTTTTTTTTTTTTTTTTGCGAATATCAACCTGTATCACCCATCTATGGGTAAAATAATGGGACAGACTGAATTCTACAGCTTTCGGTAGCAACCACTCTGCGAGAAGAACACTATGAATTCAAATCACCTGCTGTCTTGTAGGTTCTGCCTCTTTAGAATAAGGATAGAAGATGTTAACTTCAAAAACAAATACAGGGACGAAGTAACCTCATCATTTCCGGTGCAAAAGAAACCAGAAAACCATTTCAGTATTCTTCCTTGAATTCCACAATGAACAACAATTGTGAGATGAACCAACCGATTAAAATGACTGATCAGTTGTCCACCCTTATAGCCATGAACAATCTTATAGCCATGAACAATCTGCGTGCAATCTGTGGTCTGACATTTGACCACAACATAATCTTTTCCTAAAAATAATGCCACAATATTCCATCACTGTGTAAAAACCGAGAAAGAGGACTAAAGAAATTGCTACAAAGTTGCCACAAATTATAAAAGTTTCACTAATTTTACTATCTTAATGAACATCACTAATTTTCAATGTCACACTTCCATTTTTTAAGCACAATTACAATTCCTAAATCATTCTCAATTAGAAACATTTTTCTCACTTGTCTTTAAAGCCATCTCCAAGAAATCTAATTTCTTCAGATCTTCCAACGTAGTTGATCTGATGAAATCTCCTTGAAAATATTGAATTATCAGACTCTGTTAATTTATTGAAAAGTTTAATCGAACTGACATGAAATAAACTGTGGATATTTTTCTCATTATTAGGTATTGAAATAGTTGCCATAAAACCAAAAATACATCTTCAAACTATCACTGAAAGCTTCAATTTTCGTCTGATGTTTCCCATGTGTTTGTTTTCCAGGAACTGCCAAAAGCTCAAGACGTTGTGAGCAGGTACACTGCCGTGGTAAAAGCAGCTACGATTTGTTCCGCCACAAAAGCAGGTGAAAAATGCATTAGTCTCAGAAAACTAAGATTGCATTTATATACTCCCAAGATATAACGTTAGATGATAACACAATCTGATTATTCTTCTTTTGGCCATAGTTCACACAGCCCAACCAATCCCGTTACTTTTCAAACAGACCTCGTATGCATTGTGGGGACTTCGACGTGTTATATTGATTAGCAAACTTATCACGCTCTACCAATTACAACTGAATAGAGAGTTCGATTCTAACAGGGTGCTCCATAGTTTTTGCCTTGTGTTACATATTAAGCTACCTTTAGAAAATCACCATATTTTTTCTGTTAATGAAACGTTACATTTTCTTTTTTATTAATTTTTATAAAGTTTTTCTTCGTTGCATGAAATATTTCAAACCGTCATCGAAAGAGTGGCGATTATAACCAACAAATAATATTTTTCTAGTAAAATCTGGTTTATATGATAAGCAAAATGAATGTCTTATCACATATGATATTAAAAGCACAAGGCGTGATGTATGGTGGGGTATCAAACTTTCCATGCTCAATACGTTCTTCCAGTTTCTTACACATAATTAACATTTGTTCATTAAATATGACGATAAAATCATTTAGAATGAAAGGAAGGTACCAACATTTTCCTCCTTTTTACCCATTTTTACCTTTACTAAAAACAAAAACATTAAACACATATTTAAATATCATGAAAATTGCAAACACAACTAAAATATTTCGTTACAGATTTTCAAATTCAGTAATATGCAAATGATGATATTACATGCAAACGAGACATTTAATAACCTTGTGTAATAGCGATTTTCTAAGTGTAACTTAGATGTGGCACAAGGACGAATTTAGAGTGTACTCAGTGAGGATCGAGCTCAACATTCAGTTATAACTGTTCTAGCGAGACAAGCATGCTAACCATTACACCGCTTTGAGGTGCCTATAACCGTGTTTTAATATGAGAATAATTGTTCAACAATTTGTCTCTCTAAATGTGTGAGCGCGCACACACAAACACACACACACACACACACACAGAATAAGTACAAGCATTCACATCGAAAGTTATATGTCGATAAGACAATTTTTACTCAAAGTCTTCTCTGGTCGAGAGCACATGTATGAGATAGATAGATAGATAGATAGATAGATAGATAGATAGATAGATAGATAGATAGATAGATAGATACGAACAGACTGAGATAGATAAATAGAAAGAAAGAAAGAAAGAAAGAAAGAAAGAAAGAAAATCATTGAATTTTCTCATCATGATTCTAGAATACACTATTTACATTAGCAATGTGTTCCCCTTGCTATATCAAAAACTTCCAATGCATTATTTGTTTTCTTCTTTCTTGATAGGTTTTCAATGAAATTCCAATTATGCTCGACACACCAATATATTTTTTTGATATGATTTTGTTTGAAGTACAACAATGCTATTTGTCTGTTCTTGACCACCATCGAGCTTCTCTTCTCTCAAATACACAATCGAGACAAAAATAATTTTGTACTTACAGTAGTGTCATCACTAATAACAGATATAGCTACGATTGTATCGCTTACATCTTCTGACACTTTTAATTATCGATTTTTTATTTATTTCAGCTCTTATTAGTTGTGAAGATAAAAAAGTTGACGATAAAACTTACAGGTATATATTTTAAATTAAGAATCTAAATTAGTTGCCCTCACTAATTCATTTAAAAATAGCATACCATGATGAAAAAATGACCCAAATTTTTATCGTCAAAATCTTTATGTTATTATTAAGAGGAAAGACAAAGGTATTTTTGATTATTTATTATATTTTGTAATACTTTTTAGCACATTCGAAATTTTAGTTAAAAATCTTGTTTTTCTTGCGTCAACGGCGGGCTACAAATTAATATAGGAAATTTTAACGTCTCGGGAATGTTACCATTGTCGGATCGCTAGAGGCTCACCAGTGTCCCGCCGGTGGGTACCACCTGAGGACCGTTATCATCGGCGGCCCGCCAGCGAGCAACTAGTAGCTTGCGTGTAGGGAATATTAATATATAATATTATACATTTAAGAAAAAAGTATTCGATGAATAATGAATTTTTACAAGAATTGTTATCATTGTTTGTTTTTTTTAATTTAATTAGAATAAAGTTTAAAAATATTTTAAAATTCTGCATTACTTTGACCCAGTTAGGTAATATTGTTACTAAGTAAAAATATATTTATTAATCATAAATTGAAAGGCAATCAGAAAAATGACAACGGTGTTGTTATCTTTTGTAAGATAATTTCCCTGTTCCTACTATGGTATCATAGATGCATCAGGTGAATTCTAAAAACGCATAGAAGTCAATCGGCAAACAACAAGAAAATTTCGAAGGATACATAAGCGTGAAGTTTAAACTATTAACAAACTAGTCTGGCTGACCATTACTAATGAAGTGAATTGATCCATACATGATGATCCATACTTGTGACCTTGTACCAATATCAACTAAATTTATGAAAAACCATCAAAAGGTTTAGAGGTGATGCTATAATAATAGTGTGGATTTGTTTTACCAGTTAAGGGGTTAGATCAATAATTCTCCCCAATGAAAATGTCACTGTCATTTATGAAGAAACTCTGAAGACTTCTGTTTATTCAAGAACTTCTACACCCAAGATTATTTAATTCAATACAAAAATCCGAAAAAGATAATCCAAAGTAAACATAAATACAATCACTGGAAGTGAAACTTTGAGAAGGAATGTACTTTCCAAATAAAAATCGATATCATTCAAAAACCCAGCAGACACAATGAATAAAAAATTTTATTTCAATAAAATTTACGTGTTTTTTTTTTGTTTGTTTGTTTTTTTTAAACTTTAGCAATTGTTCAGTTTTGTTCATCGGTGTGTATATATTTAGTTACATAACATAACTGTATATAATCATCCTGAAAAATGGTTAACCAAGGTTCCATTCCCATCAGCAATACAAACATTCCATGATTTTGCTACGTCTCTGTTAGATTCTGCATTTCTATGTACATGTTTGAAAGAACAGACCAATATTGCGAAAAGCTTTCTAAATTTATCTATCGGCGGGATACAAAAACTTTACACAAATTAAGTTGTGCAAATTTAGGAATTATATATGATTTAATAAAATACGAATTAATTAAATATGAATTAATCAAATATAATTTATTTAATCATGCAGAAAAAAGACGGTTACTATATTATCTATTTTAGAAATAAACTTCATCAAAAACAATATCAAATTTCATTTTTCACAATTTCCGTTTCATAAGAAAAATATTCTTCTTCTCATGATACATTAAGTTTTCTAGTAAATGTTACATTTGGTAAAAAACAAAACAAAATAATTTTGTCTAAAATGTCTAAATAAATATTCTAACTTTTATATAAAGGAATTTATGTTTTTCATTTTGACTCCAGATTTGAAAAATGAAGTGGAGTTTATGCGCCTTGAAAATAATGTATTTAATAGAAAATATTTACATGCGGCGAAATATATTCTAAGCCGTTTCTCTCCCCCCCCCCATTGGAGTTATAACGCTGCACTTCTACTAAGAGATGAGTCTTAATATTAATATGACACCAATCAATAAGTTAATAATAATGGATTATACAGATGAAAGTGTAACAATAAGACAAATGATTCCTCATGTTAGTTTGGTATCTCTCAGCCTAATGGCCACTCAATCAGCGTTTTGCATTTTTAGATTTGGCGAAAATAGTCAAAATGTCCGTCATGCTAAGTGTACTTGAACAAACTGGAAAACTCAAAATAGAAATAAAAAAAAAAACTTTTGTTAAAATTATTTAGAAAAAACAAAAACATTTCGTTTATTCAGTCAGTGTTAAATTAAACCTTCCCTTTTGAGAGGAAGTACTCTTAAGGTAAATTTGATTGGTTAAGAGGCTATTCTTCCGAATTTCTCTGAGAATGAAATTAAAGTTGATACAGACAAAGAAAAGTGGCGTTGGGCCTTCAAACAAAAGTTAACATTTTTTTCAAAACAAGTTCAAACCAATTCTAGGCTGATTTAGTGCAGTGATTCTTAATCATTTTCCTTGTTCCCTTCCTTTTCAAACCAGTAACCAGTTCTCGCAACACATTTCAAACCAACCAGTTCAACCTCCTTCTAGAATTTATGAAAAACAATATTGATCTTATGTGTAAATAACAAATCCATTGTGTTTCTTTAATCTTTATTCGCATAAGTGACAACAAAATAATGCATTACAAAAAAAAAAACAGCAAAAAAATAACATTACGGTAACATGTGCTTGTACTATGCATGGTGTGTTGTGAATGAGTATGGTTGAGCAACAAACTCAGTGACTTTGTTACCGTTGTTTTCACAATTTAGAGAAGGAAAAATTTAATCGTATTGACTTCGATAAAAGGGCATGTAATTTCAGTT